ACATTTGGTTAATTTATATTTGTTTTTAAATAACCAGAAATATAATGGCACTATTTCTTATAGCATGTTTAAATATAACAATTATATAATTTAACTATCTAATATGTATTTTTAAAATATCAAGTTTAACATCCTTTAATATTTCAAAAAATCATATAAGTTGATTTTTATAAACAAAAAAATTCCAAGCTTGAAAACAGTTTCATCATTTGATGTCACATAGTTTTTTTTATGGAATCAAATCCTTATTGATAACAATTTCCAAGTTTGAATTTATGTCATATGATCGGTGTTTGTTAATTGTTTGTCCTTTCTCCAGGCTCAAGTCATCGGTGTTTTTGTGGACTGCATAATCAGGTACTAATATTCTCCTTTTGTTGCGACATATAGACTTGTAATGTAGTTAATCTGTTATCAAATGTATTTAATCGACATTGAAAATTATTATGTTTTTTTTACCATCAATGTGTTTGTGATATCGAGTATAATCATGACCGGTTCAAATTGAATGTTTTTTTTGTCTAACATCTTCATTTTCCCCTTAATTGATTGCTAAACTTAGTACAACAAGGTCATGTTCTTTCATCTTATGAAGCCCTTAATATGACTAAAAATATTAATGCTTACTTTAAGAATACTTTTGGAATTTTGTCGACACAGTCGTCTTTATCGACATTGTCAATTATGTAAATTGGCATTGTACTTGCAATGCTCAATTAATCATGGAGCATCGTATTTCAATATTAGTGTTGTAAATAACTATGCACTAATATTTTATGTATAACTTATCGTATTTTAACAGTACGATACAAGGCATAATGGTTTTTTTATGTTTAAGAGCAGATTGACCATTTTCCACTGATTGTATGTTTTGCGATGGTAATAAACAAAAGTCAAGGACAATCACTATCAAATGTGGGTTTGTTTTTTAGACAACCATTGTTTGCTCATGGACAATTGTATGTTGTATTCTTCAGAATTAAAAGAAGTGATAGATTGAAAATATTAATTTTATACAATGACAATAACCTTAACAACAAGACATTTAATTTGTATTCAAAAAAGTTTGTGGAAATCTGTAATTCATAACAATTGTTTACAATATGTCATTGCTAATTTTTATTAATTTGGGTTCAATTACATACTTATTTATCAAAGCCTTTATATATATATATATATATATATATATATATATATATATATATATATATATATATATATATATATATATGTGTGTGTGTGTATAAGTATTACTTTAAATATTGTTTAATGTTCATAATTTGATATTAAATTTATTTTGTTAATAAACTCGTGTAATACTTATATATATATATATATATATATATATATATATAAACTCGTGTAATCACTATCAAATGTGGGTTTGTTTTTTAGACAACCATTGTTTGCTCATGGACAATTGTATGTTGCATTCTTCAGAATTAAAAGAAGTGATAGATTGAAAATATTAATTTTATACAATGACAATAACCTTAACAACAAGACATTTAATTTGTATTCAAAAAAGTTTGTGGAAATCTGTAATTCATAACAATTGTTTACAATATGTCATTGCTAATTTTTATTAATTTGGGTTCAATTACATACTTATTTATCAAAGCCTTTATATATATATATATATATATATATATATATATGTATAAGTATTACTTTAAATACCGTTTAATGTTCATAATTTGATATTAAATTTATTTTTTTAATAAACTCGTGTAATACACGGGTCTTAAACCTAGTAATATTTTACAAAGAATTCAAGTTTTTGACAATAGGTAAATAATAATATTCTATGGCTATCGATATGACCATTTTTGTATTTTTAGTTGTTTCTACCAAGTACATTGCTATCTTCCTTTGAATAGTGTATGTTGCTATTGTTTTCCTACTAATTAGTAACATGTTTACATCTTTAAAAAAATACCTTTTAGTAATGTATGTTGTTATAAAGTTTCATAAATATTTATTATAACTTTTAATATGAGAACTTCCTTTTTATTTTTATAGTCGAGAAGCATGGGAAGCTATATTTATGTGAAGGTAGTAGAACTATTAACTTCATGGCTGATTTCAACATTTAATTAGTGACTATTTGTTCTATTTATGCACCAATGTATCTATTTTCATGCAAAATCATGGTTGCAAGCAAGATCTGATAGTTGAAATAGATTTATAAAATTTTATAAATCTTTGATTTTTCATTACCATTTTTAACTATCAATATTAGTATTAATTTTATTTTTTACCCATGGTTTCCACATATTGTAACATGGTTTGGATTTATTTGTGTAGCATAATTATTTAACCTCCATGTTCTCTATTGATGAGTATCTAAGATTTAAACATTCTAAAACAGCATGAGTGTTAGGGGGTGTTTGGGTGAGCTTTTTCTCTTTAAAAGTCATTTTCATAAAAGCCCTTATTCACTTTTAATTTTTGCCAAAAGAAGTTTTAAAAATATGTTTGGAATAACTTTTAGCCTTTTACCTTTTAAAACCCCAAAAGTTAGCATTTTGTGACTTAAAAAAAAAGAGTATTTTCTTCTTAGCCAAAAGCTATTATAAAATAACTTTTAAAATTTCCAAACATCTTATTAAACTTTTTGATTTTTTCAAAAAGAAAAAGATAAAAAGTCATTTTAAAAGCCAACCCAAAAGTCATTTTAAGAGGGGCGGGTGTGGGCAATGCCCGTATGGCGTTATCCGATGTGGCAGCGCCATAACGGGGGAACACCGCCCCCCCTCCCGTTATTAGATGTTATGTTATCTCGCGCGATGGTGGTAACGTATCTTAACGCGTAAAAAATCGACCGTTTGCAAATTCAAACCGTTTAAAAACGGTAACTTTAATAAAAAAAAATTTACTAATTACATTTTCATTTTATATATATATACCTCATTCTTTTTACTACACATATTTCTCTATATCTATCTCTATTTTCTATATCACTCAAAACACAAACACAAAAATCAACCAACTATGGATGAATTTGATCCGGCCCATCCGTACAATGATGATAACGACGAAGACGATTTGTTCGTGAGTATGATGTACCGGTATTACACAGACAACCTACTACAGTCAGATCCAACTCCACTACTCACGTGACGTGCGGCGTTAAATAGAGATCGTGAGGAAGGGCATCGACGGCTAGTTAACGATTACTTTGCGGAAAATTATGTCTACCAGCCAAGCGATTTCAAAAGAAGATTTCGTTTGCGAAAAAATGTCTTTGAAAGGATAGCCAACACTATGGAAGCAAGGTATCGTTTGATTCAACTTTTATAATTTACAAAATGTCACTTTTAGATAAAATAAATACAATTTTTACATGTTTAATATTTAATTAGGTATGAATTTTTCCAAATGAGATATGATGCTAGAGGCAAACGAGGCTTCACAGGGTTGCAAAAATGTGTTGCTGCAATTAAACTTATGGCAATGGGGGAGTCGCCCGATTCTGTTGACGATTATATGAGAATATCTGAGAGGACCGCACGAGAAAGTTTGTATTTATTGGCAAGAGGTGTTGTCGAAACCTTCGGTGACCAATACTTGCGCAAACCTTCGTTGCATGATATGCAACAACTATATGCGGCGCATGAAGAAAGACATGGTTTTCCGGGTATGCTTGGGAGCATTGACTGCACACACTGGAAATGGAGAAATTGCCCCGTGGCGTGGAAAGGCCAGTATTCGAGCGGTCATCATGGAGCGCCTTCGTTGGTATTAGAGGCTGTTGCTTCACACGATTTATGGATTTGGCATGCTTTTTTCGGGGTTGCGGGTTCTAACAACCACGTCAACGTTCTCAATCAATCACCAATATTTGACGATCTTTTGTCAGGAAAAGCCCCGCATGCTCCTTTCACAGTGAATGGAAATGAATATAAGTTTGGGTATTACCTTACAGACGGAATATATCCACAATATTCCACGTTTGTGAAGGCGTTTTGACACCCAATAGATCCAAGGGACAAATATTTCAAGAGACGACAAGAAGGAGCACGTAAGGACGTTGAACGTGCTTTTGGGGTTTTGAAATCAAAATGGCACATAGTTGAACATGCGGCGAGACCTTATGAGTTAGATACTCTGCGATATATCATGTATGCATGTATCACAATGCATAACATGGTTGTCGAAGATAAATGACGCAATATTGCAACGTATTCGCCTACGGAGCCAAGATATGTGCAATTTCAACCGGGGACATCGGAATATTTACATAGAGTGGTTGATATTCAAGATTAGCGAAAACACAAGCAACTCCGTGAAGACTTGGCGGATTACATTTATGTTGGTCACGAAGATGAAGATGAATAGTTTTAGGCCGAAAAATATAGGTTTTATCATCTTTTTTTTTTCTGGCTTTTTAGGTTTTTAAATGTTTTTGTGTTTTGATGTAATTTTTTTAATGTTGTTTTTAATTTAAGTTTTATTAAAATTTTATTTTTACTTTTCAAATATAAACAAATAAAAAAAAAACAAATTCGAAATATAGAAAAAAAAACATAAAAAATAAAATAGAAAATAATTAATGTTATCACATGTTATTAGATGTTGTCCATTTCTACATTGGGTGTTCTAACACAAAATTGTGACTAGGATGATGAGGTGGAACATTTGGGTGTGATAACATGTAATAACATGTTGCCCACGCCTAGTAGTCTAAAAGCCAACCCAAACACCCTCTTAGGTTCGAATCGTACAACTTTTAATGTTAAAATGGTTAGTCGTTAAATAAATTTGAGTCCCTCCAATTTGTATAGTATGTAATTAGCATTTTGGGGTATGTGAAAATATAAATGGTTTTTGTTGAACATTTATTAATTTCTTTTAAAAAGCATTTAACTTTACAGCATCCAATGAAGTTTGATTTTGTTGGGAAAGACCGACTTTTCATTTGCTACATAAAGATTGTAACCCACCTTCTTCTTCAATATATCATTTGTGAGTTGCAGTCCTAAAAAGTTATAGAAAACATGGGTGCCTCTGAAAGCACTGAAAGATTAAACGGGACGGAGAACAAGGGTAAAGAGGAGCTTCGGCAAGAATCCGGTGGAGGTTCCACTTCCACCGGAGTTGCAACGACCATTGCGGTAGCTGCTGCTGGCGTTGCTGTTGCTGCTTGGGGCATTGCTAGCCTGCTTTCCGACAACACAGACTCCCAAAAATCAGCGGCAAAGATGATGAAAGCTCCTGGTAGATCTACTACGATACCGAGGGATAAGTTTGAAGCTAACCCTAAGGCGTACTTCTCTGACCTTCGTGGCAAACGTTAATAGTATGGATGATTCAACTTGTTTGGATGTTGTTGTTTTTCATTTACCTTTTAATCTATTTGTGTTTAATGTGTTTTATCATTTTCTATTTGGTACGACTGATTTGTAATATAAATATAGTATTTCTTTTGTGTTATTGGTATGCTATTTCTTATAATTCACAACTCACAAGCTTACTGCTTACTTATCATCTATGTTCAGAAAAATCAAAACAGAACCAAAGAAAAAACCGTACTTTAGCCTTTTTTTTTTTAGTAATAAAATTAGATCCAAACTTTCTTTAATCTTCATCTCTTCCCCGACCTGATGCATAAACAAATTTCAACCAACCAGATCTCTCCAAAAGCTATCTTAATCCGACCTTCTGCTCTCAAATCCTCGCCTCAAATAGGCACCGGACGTCGGAAGATCGTAGACATTAGCGACACCGTCGAGTTCAACTCACTCCTCTGGCTCCAGCGTTGTCTTCTCCGGCTCCGGTATTCCTCCTGTGCCCTGCCTCAAGACTATAACAAGACCTGCTCAGGATGACTTAGTCTCAAAGGAAAAGAATTTCAATTGTTATTTGTTTATTTTATTTATTACCTTTTTCTTTCTTTGGTTGTTGCACTTTAAATGTGTAATTGAGAAAATTAAGTAACATTACCATTTTAAATGTGTAATTGAGAAAAATAACATTTTTTTTTAAGAAAAAATAATAATTTGGTCCTGAATAAGAGCATTAGCCACAAAAAAATACCTTTTTTTTACTGATTTTGGAATGACATTCAAGTTCCGAACCAACATTCCGGATTCTAGACTAAAATTTCGAATTTATGAAGAAAAAACTCTAGAATTTCAACAACAATTATGAAATTTCAAAGGAAAAAAAACGTTTTTAACTTAAATTTAACAAAAAGTTAAACAAATATAAATTTCTCTTTTTTTGAACGGCGCAAATTTTATTTAAAAACTAGCAAGAAGCTAGAAAAGAACAATTACATAAATCAAGTAGCAGAAGTTGAATTATGCAACCAAGAAGACCATCCAAACTTTGCTTTCCTACACCTATTAGAAATCGAAAAAATGTCCTATGAATAATATCATCAAAAATGTTCGATTTCCTAGGAAGAATCTTGCCGAAAACCAAATTATTACGGAAGTTCCACAAATACCAAAAAGAAGTAAAAATCACTGCTTGAAAGACCTTCCATTCACCATCCCTTAAAGTAATCGAATCTGACCAAGAAAGAAGAGATTGCACTGTAATCTGAGCTATATACGATATTAATGTGAACTATATACGATATTAGTGTATAAAATTATACATTTTATTAAAAAATGTTGACATTAACTTTCAAAATGTACATATCATTCAAAATCCCCCTAAAAAAGATGTCTTTGAAAATATATAAATAAATAAACTCTGAAATATGAATACTACTCGGGAATGCACATTCCAGAGAAAGTGGTTATTTTTCTAAAACTGAAAAAAATTACTTATTTTATTTGAAAACTCCATTTATAATGGTTAAATTACTTGATTTCCCTATTTAATTCGTTGTTTGAGGTTATGAATGATATTAGAAAATTCCTCCAAGACTTTGTTTCTTCTTCTTGTTCCTAGTAGATTAGCAATTTCGAACCGGCTTCAATCATTTGGTTTTTTCATCGTCGTCTCAATGCCTCCAAAAGTGAAATTCGACTCTACCTCTGACCACCGCACGCCCATCTGCCATGATCATATGCAAATGCTCATTCGTATCTCCAGTGACACCACCACCAATCTCGATCAACTTGCTAACATTTTGGTTACAAAAGCAACCCCTTGCTGCTACCACCCCCATTGCTGCCCCCATCCCCACTGCCACCAAACAACAACCACCGTCCACTAAAAATCAACTCCCAAAATTTGATGGCTCTAATCCCTTCAATTGGATTTTTCAAGCCAAAAACTACTTTACATAATACTCTATTCCACCACCACAACGTATCTCGCTATTGTCTTCTATTTTACTGGCGACACTTTCATTTGGTACAAACACTTAGCAAACAAAAATCTTCTTGGCACATGGCCGAATTCACATGCGCTCTTGAACTACGCTTCAGTCATTCCACGTTCTAGAATTACCAAACAACATTGTTCAAACTCCGTCAAACAACAACCATGTTGGCATACCAAACGGATTTCGGAAAAGTTAGCAGTTGCGTCATCGGTCACTCCCCTCTTGCCTTACACAATTATTTCATATTTGGGTGATGCTCTGACATCCAATCCGAACTCACTCTCCACAACCCACAACACCTACGACTTAGCAAAGCTAAATGAAGACAAAATCCATGCTCAACTTCCGTCTTTCGATGGTACCTCCGAACCTCCACCAACACCCTTGTTGGTTGCTCTTCATCACTTGATCCAACACTTCCGGTCAAGAAGCTAAGCCCAATTGAAATGAAAAAATGACGGGTTGAAGGTCTTTGCTACAATTGTCCCGCAAAATGTCAATCCGGTCACCATTGCAACCCACTAAAATTTCTCCTTCTTCAATCGAAGACCGACCCATCATGGACTCCCAGAGCACATTATGATTTCGGCCTTGAGGACAAGGCCATTGTTTAGGAGAAGAGTATTGATACAAACATGTTTCAGTAGTACATCAATTTTCTTGTTAAGTCCACATACATGAAAGAGAGATGACTTAGTCTCAAGGAAAAGAATTTCAATTGTTATTTTTTTATTTTATTTATTAGCATTTTCTTTCCATTAGTAGGCCCTAATTTTCTTTCTTTCTCCCACTTTTGTTTAGTTGTTGCATGTATGTTAATTTAGTGGCATATTTAATTCACCGTAATCGTATGGTTCAGATTATGAATGACATTAGAAAATTGCTCCAATTCTTTTGTTTCTTCTTATTGTTCTTAGGAGATTAGCCATCTCGAACCGGATTCTATCAAGAACTGACACATATCACACAAATTTTTGGTTGGACTTTGGAGAGGAGAGAAAGAAGAGCATAATTGTATTTACGTTGCTTTTGGCTCTTTTATTGTATGTGCACATGGACAAGGGGGTCTGTTTATCTATAAGAACCTTATGTTAATGAATTCAACAGCATTTCTTCATGCTGACACGGTGTTTGATAAAATGGTAAGAAGGATTTCCCTGAAGTTGCAACTATTTTGTACTTCCAGAAATAACACCTTAATTTTAATTATTTTTTTATATAATTCTTAAGGAACTTAAATAATATATTTTTATTAAAAATATGAATTGTTATATCTAAAATCGTCTGTAAAAGAAATATCGTTGATGTCATTTTATTAAATATTTTAACAAAATATGGGTATTACTAAAAAGATTTCTTAAATAATTTCCAAAAATAATTATGAGTTTATTTGTTGGAAAATAATGATCTTTAATATCTACAACCATTTGTAAAGCAAATATCCAAATCAACATGCTATTGAAGTTTTCCAAAATGTCATCAGAGTAGAATTATTTAAAAATAAAAATAACATAAGAAATGTCGAAGTCAAAACTCAGGTTATATAATCATAATGTGAGAAATGCGTTTAGCTGAAATCTTAAAAGTCTTTAAACTTGCATGCGAGAGCTTATAACAGTCCACCCGTGTCATTTCCCTGAAAAATGTTAATAAACAACTGTAAGCGAAACTGTAACGCCTCAAGTTTCAAACCAATTTTTTTTCATTTAAAACCATATTAAACATTCAAAACCCATTTCTGAAAACATATCATAACATTTATTTGTTGGAAGATAGTGCCCACAGTCACGACAAGTTGGTAATATTACTATTAATAGAAATGTCATTTTTGGTTACATGTAATAACAATATTGAACAGTTATAGACACAAGAGAAATATATGGATCTAGTTTGTTAAATAATTATGTGAATAATTAATTAATAGAAACCTACAAACTTAAAGGGATCAAATGAAATTTAAATCATCTGGATATACACTTCCTTATAGATAATTACTTAGTGGTCAATTTATTATTTGATAAGGATTCTTAAACCCGCCCTAAAAATAGAGGGTATAATTTCCGGAATCAAAGACTTCTTACCATCTGATTTCCGGAATCAAATGGCATGGCGCGTCTCCATCCTGGCGCAAAGCGTCTAACGAACATATTCAAAATCTGTTTTGCGGTTTGATTCTGGAAGTGTTTTGGTTGGTCTACTATATCTTGGGTGTGATCACATAAGAGGAATTGTACGTTGGGTTCCCATCCATAGATCAACTGGTGAGGAATAAGAAATCAACGGCTACAAAAGTAAGTTTGTTTTCCCTCTCTCTTAAGTTAAATTTTGTTGCATCGATTGGTTTTACACGAGATCCGACTCTTGGATTATGAGTTATTATTTTGCTTCTGATGTATTTACGCCTTTGTGACCAAAGATCCTCATAGCCAAAAGTGCTATCAAAGACATCTTATTCACGTCCTTGCACATGTGATTTCCATTATGTTGTAATTATGTTTGCATTTGATTAGTCACGGTAATTATTTTAAAGTTTAAACCTTTTATAAACCAAAATTGTTTTAGGTTTTAAAAATTTGCAAAAATTGTTTTCTTCTCGAAAAGCCGCAGTGCGGCTTTTCGATCAATTCTGAAACCCTACCTGTGAATTGTGGAGTGTCTTTCTCTGATGCACAGAGTGTCTTTCTGGAACGTTGTGCGCATTCCTAGACGCGACACACTTATGCTGTTCGCATATTCGATTTTTCTTAGTTTGTTTAAATCTGAATATGTTTAATTACATTAAGGATATGATTCGGATCAGTGAACTTGGCAAACCAACTAGTTTACAAGAGATGGATATAATTTGTTTATTGTTTTGATTGTAATTGTTAATTATTGATAAAAGTCAATAATTTAGACTTTATTGTATTGGTGATTTCGTTCATGTGAGATCATCGAAACAACAATTAGTTTGTTGCGTTCAACTTCATAACTATTAATTTAGTCTAAAACTTATAATCCAAGTTCAAATAATTG